TCCCAGAGAATAAGAAGATTAGTTCTTTTCTTGGGGGTCTCATAACAGAGCTAGCATCAAGAGTTAAACCACTACTCCCTCAGTCCCTACTCGATGCATCCAAGCTTGCACAACTATAAGAGTCTCATCTTTACTTGTTACCTCAGTTTCACATGTCATCTATGAGGAGTAAGTCATCCTCTTCTAGTTCATATTCTGCTAAGGGTTCATTGCCTACTGCCAACGTGCCACCAAAGGCTCTAACATATTCTATCAAGGATAAGCCATTATTGATTGATAGCGATAAAGGAGCCTCTTCTTCTACATCTCCCAATAATGCTGTTAGAGGAGGGCAAACTTCAAGAAGGCCAAACTTTGCCTTTAAGCAGAAGCTGTCTTCAAGTGAGTTGGAGGAATGTCACACCAAGAACTTGTGTTATTACTACTGTGAGAAAAATTCTCCCAGCCATGACTGCGCTTAAAATCATAATACTAAAATATTTCCAAGGGAGATGACTGACACTGTGGCAGAGGACTCTTTACCTGACATTCAGCTACTAGAAGGCGATAATGAAGTGATGGGAGTTGAAGCTTCACAGGATACACCTGTTATTTCACTTAATGCCATGTATAGCACTTCGGATAATAAGACTATGGGAAGGGAAGGATATGCAAAAGGACATTATATGTGTTGATTGACACGGGTAGCATTCATAATTTCTTGAATTTCACTATTGCTCAAGAATTATGTATGACACCCGAGCTAATTCCACCACTCAAGGTTTCAGTTGTGGGAGGTAGCAGCTTGATGGGAGAGGGCTTTTTTCATGAGGTGAAATGGCAAACACATGGGCTTGACTTTGAGGTAGATGTTCTGCTTTTACCTTTGGCATGATCTGATATGGTGATGGGAATGCAGTGGTTATAAGCACGCTGGGTATCATCATGCTTGATTGTAGTAAATTGAGTGCGAAATTAAATGGGGTGGCAAGATGATTAAACTCTCAGCATCTTCTATCGCTAAGGGCCAGGTTGTGGGTAAAGGAACTGTGATGGAAGTTTTGCATTCTACATCTACCATGTGGGGCCTGCAATTGATTCTATTTCCTGAAAATGCACCTGTCATTCTTTAATCGCTGAATCTAGCATGTCTATTCCCGAGGCAGTGTAGCTTTTGTTGACTAAGTATGAGGGGTGGTCCAAGGAGCCCACATCTTTTCCACCTAAGCGTGGGTCCATGACCATAAGATTGTGCTAAAGGAAGGGACAAGCCCAATCAATCTGAGACCGTATCAGTACGTACCCCACTACTCAAAAAGATGTCATTGAGGGCATGATGAAAAATATCCTCGAACAGGGTATAATTCAACACAGCAGGTCCCTTTTGCTTCTCCAGTGGTATTGGTCAAGAAGAAGAGATGGAAGTTGGCCTGTGCGTGTAGATTATTTCACCTTGAACTTTGCTACAATGAGAGAGACTTTTCCTATACCCCTAATAGAAGATTTACTAGATGAGTTGGTGACTGCACAGCTATTTTTGAAATTAGACTTTCAATCCGGCTATCATCAGATGTGAATGAGAGATGAAGATATACATAAAATCGCTTTCCAAACTCACGAGGGGCACTATGAATATCTCATCATGCTGTTTGGTCTCACAAATTCTCCATTAACATTTCAAGCTATCATGAATCATATCTTTGGTAGCTTCTTATGTAAGTTTGTCCTTGTATCTTTTGATGACATACTAATCTATAGCCTTGATATGCAGACTCACACTGAGCATCTCCAATCTATCTTCAACATTCTGCAATGTCATCATTTTCTTGTAAAAGGATCCAAATGTGCTTTTGTGACATCTCAAATTGAGTATTTGGGCCATGTCATATTTGATGGCAAGGTGGCAGAAAATATGTCCAAGTTACAAGCTGACCAAGAATGGCCTATTCCTACAAATGTGAAAGAGCTTCGTGGTTTTCTGGGTTTACCAGGGTATTATCACAAGTTCATTCGCTCTTATAATTTGTTGGCTCGGCCCCTCACTGAGTTACTAAAAAACTATAGTTGTAAATGGAATAATGAAGCTGAACAAGCTCTTGTGAATTTAAAAGCAGCTTTGATTCGAGCTCTTGTATTAGTTCTACCTAACCTGCAACAAGCCTTCACTATTGAAACGGATGCATCCAGCTTTGGCATTAGTGATGTCCTGATGCAAAATGGACATCCCGTGGCTTATGTGAGCAAAGTTTTGTTACTTAAGAATAGGCTTTTATCATTTTATGATAAGGAGTTACTAACCATTGTACATGCTGTAGCAAAATGGCATCAATATCTTAGTATTCAGCCTTTAACCATATTAACTGATCAGCGGAGTCTGAAGTTTCTTTTGGAGCAATGGTTATCTACGCCTGCTCAATATACATGGATTACTAAATTAATAGCACTCCAATGTGAAATTAAGTATCGATCGGGGAAGGAGAACGATTTCGCCGACGCACTATCAAGAACCACTCACGGGGAACTATTAAATTTGTCAGTTTCTTCTGTTTCTATAGGTTTGTGGGAAAAAAATCATTGACGAATGGCATACTAATTCAGTCTTAAGGAAAATAATTGAAGAGGTAAAATTGGACCCACAGTCCCACTCCAAGAACCAATGGCAGAACAACATGCTGCTCAGGAAGCATAGATTGGTTATTGGACCCAAGCAAGGTGAGCTAAAATCCCTCATCATTAAGTGGTTAAATAGCAGCCCTCAAAGAGGCCATTCAGGGGTCAAAGCTACTATTCATTGAGTAAAGGCAATTTTTTATTGGAAGGGCTTATTGGTAGATGTTAAGCGATATTTGAACTCTTGTGAGACTTGCCTTCAACGCAAATATGAAACTTTTGCTTATCCAGGTCTCCTTCAATCATTGCCAATTCCTCCTGGTGTGTAGCACAGTGTGGCAATGGATTCCATTGAAAAACTTCCAAAGTCTAGGGAAAAGATACAATTTTGGTGGTGATTGATAGATTAAGTAAATATGCCCATTTTATTCCTTTCACTGCTGCAACCTTTAGCTCAGGTCTTTATTAACAATATATACAAACTTCATGGGGCACCTACGAACATAATAAGTAACAGAGACTCACTATTTACCTGTCTTTTCCGGAAGGAATTTCTACTGCGACTTAAAGTAGAGCAGCATTTATCTTCAGCCGATTATCCTCAGAGCGATGGTCAAAGTAACGTGTTGAATAGATATTTGGAGCATTATTTGCGTTGCTTTTCGTGGCAACATCCTCAAGATTGGGTTCAGTGGCTGCTTTTGCCCGAATGGTAGTATAATACTACTTATCACTATGCGACGAGAACAACTCCATTTGAAGTGATGTATGGACAACCTCTGCCTCTTCATTTGCCATATCTGCCTCAAGAGTCAGCTGTTGATGCTGTAGATCGTTCTTTTGCTGCTAGAGAACTTCTCTTGTCTCAGCTTAAACAACACCTCACTCTGGTTGTTAACCATATGAAACAAATTACTGATAAACATTGCTCTGACCATGAGTTTCATGTGGAGGATTGGGTGTTTCTTAAACTACCAGCTTATAGACAGTAACCAGTTGCTAATCGCTCTTCTGAGAAATCATCTCCGAGATATTATAGCCCATTGCAGGTGGGAAGCACATGTGGGAGCTGTAGCTTATCCTTTGGCGTTACCTGCATCAGCTGAAGTTCACCCTACTTTTCACGTTTCTTTGCTCAAACCATGGCCAGACACATCTGTGACTATGGTTCAACTTCCAGAAGATTCAGGGTCCCCTGTTCATGAGAAGATGCCTTTTGCAATTCTGGACAGCCATATTATTCAAAGGAATAATCGTGCAATCACTCAGGTTTTTGTACATTGGCTTAATGAGCTACCTGAAGATGCCACCTGGCTTCCTTGGTCAAACTTCCAGCGTTGTTTTCCATTTTTCACCATCTATGCTCCTCCTTGAGGACAGGGAAGTTTTAGTCAACACATGGTTTTTAATAAGTTGGCTCTATTTCGGTTTTGCACACTTTTTTCCATTCTGTTAGTGTGGGCACGTGATGCAGGGTTGTTACATTGGGATGTGCATTGTACTGAGAGGATTGTGGATTATGTGCAGTGAAATTCTCAATCTCTCTCTCTCTCTATATTTCTTCTTCTTCTCTCCTCTGAATATTGTGTTGCTTCTCTCTTTCCATTTTTGTTACGTCATTTTCTGAGAGGTCTTGATATATTAGGCGCGGTGTTGATAGGGTTTGGCGTTTTGGCATACCACAGTTCATGAAATTATTTTTTGGTCACTTAAGCCGTGCAGATCTTAGAGAACTATCGGCCTTGTTTGATTTTGTTTTTTTCTTTTACATTATTGAAACAATTGGTAAAATAGTTTTTAAGAACAAATTTTAAAAATAAAAAAAATGAAAAGAAGAACTTATTTCAATAATATGTAACGTGGTGAAATAATAGGTGAAAAAATATTTATTTTATTAATATAATTGTGTTAGTAAAAACATGAAATTTTTTGCTTTCTTTTCCTAGTTTTGTGAAATAAAATAACAAAACATTAAAAAGAAATTCCGAATTTTTAGTTTTTTAAAATAACTTTTAACTTTTTGAAAGAATAAATATTGTAAACACATTTTTAAACAGATTTTTTTTTTTTTTATTCTTTAAAACAAAAAACTATTCTTAAACCAGGTAATTAAACAAGCTCAATTCCTCAATTTTTTAGGAAAAAATTAAGAATACTTTTTTGGACTTGGAATGTTTAATGGACTTGAAGATGGAAGGGAAACCTTACTTCCACATCTTGTCAATTTTAAGAGGAGAAAATTAAATTTAATTTATTTGGATATTGTAAATGATTTCATTGATTAGTGTGAAAAAGTTCGAAGATCATGCCATTCCTAATTTAATAATTTGTTCTATCACAAGATTGCACTGTTTCATTTATATTTGAATTTTTCAAAACACTATCTGCGAATTCTATTGGGAGCAACAAACTTGAGATAATTGACTTGATCATTTCATGATTTTCCTACAAGTAAAAGAACCCTACACCGATGATCTGATAGTTCATTGAGCTCCAATCTCAATCTTTGAGATTAAGATGAGCTATGTAAATATAAAAAAAAAAAAAAAACGGACAAACGCACACACACTTGCCTAAATTCTATGCCTCCATCTTTTCTTCTTTGTTGGGTTGGCACATATAGACCAACTCCTAGTGAAGGCAGTGACAAAACTTCACTACTGATGTGCACCAGCAAAGTAAGCAAGAGGTCCAACAAAGGCACCATTGATGTAGGTGGCAGGTTCTGAGTGACTATAATCTTCACGATCGTCTGGAAATCCATCACTCTGATTTGGCCCGCCAACAACGGCTCCAACCAATATGTTAGGGTTAGGACTCATGGAGTGGAAGAACGGTTGGAAACCGCCATCACAACCTATGCTTTGAGGGTGAGTTGCTAGTGAGGGCAAGGAAGATCCTCTGTGATGAATCCTCTTTGGAAAGTAAGGACCATATCCTACCATGTAAGACATCCTCAAAGGGTTGTCTCCTAGAATGTAGTCCACCTACAAGTATTTAATCAAATTGTGTTAAGAATTGGATATGGACATACATACATACATACATACATACATACATACATACATACATACATACATACATATATATATATATATATATGTATATATAATTGATCAAACTGAAGTTTGAATATGTGGAATCTGCATTCCATATAGTTCAAAGTGTTTCAATCTTATTTCATCCAAGATCTCAATAGTCTATTTTATATTATTGCTATTTTACTCATCTTGATTATGCCAAAATCTCTTATGCCTCATTTGCTAACGTGGAAGTAGAAGTAGAAAAGGAAGTAAGGTGAAAATAGAGTTTTAAAACATGTTTGATATACAAATAGAAGTGGGTCATTTTGTATGAAAGAAGCGATAAAGGAAGTGAGTTCCACAAATTTTGATGGAACAAGATTCTCTAAAAAAGTGAGATTCACCATATCAAACAATTTACTTTTTAGTTTTACTTCCACTTTTTCCATCCCAATTTTATGTTACCAAACAAGGCACAAACTATATGGAATCTGAAATCAAATGAATGATGAGGGACTTGCCTGTCTCTTTGCAAGGCTTCTCAAGGTACTTGGAGTGACCAAGAGATTCCCACAATTAAAAGTGTGCTTTGTGAATGACATATACTTAGAATACGTTGTGAGCAAGAATGTTATAGATGTCACATATTGAAGATTGCTCTCAGGAAGCTTGTACATGAGCCCTCCTACACAACAACAAATATATTTAATTAAGTAATAATTATTTCTTTCACTAAGACAAAAAATAATTATTGATAGATTATTCAAGTCTTTTTTCTCATAGAATGTTGCATTTACCTTGTGTGTATTGGGTGCTTGAAGAGGGAGAGTTGGGCAAAATTTGGCACATAAAATTCTCAGCTTCTTGTTGGTATTGATCAAAGTTCTTATCACGATTCAGCAATGCTCTCTGCATTAACAATAATTACAAGTAATAATTAATAGAAATCAAGATTTTCAAAAAAAAAATAACACAAATAGTTATTATTGGAAAGCTACATTTTCACATAAACTTAAAGAATTTATTTATTTACCCTTGAGAGAAGAACATGCGCACCAGCATACTTGTTGTCCCAACTAAAGAGATCAGGTTGGTCATCGGCTCCCAAACTCTTTATCAAGTTATAATAATAAACAGCATTTGTTGCTCTAAAAAGCCATGCTGCTCCCCACAATAGCTCATCCTAAATTCAAAAAGAAAATTATTTAAAATAATATTTTTAAAGAACCAATTTAGCGTTAGAGAGAGCGAGAATAATATATATATATATATATATAATAAATTACATTTTGAATGATCAATTAATGGACAAATTCCATCCACGTTTACATACTCCTTATATTCTACACAATATAAGGCATTGATAATTATGGTTCTAAAATTTAAGTGAAATCTTAATCTTTTAAAAAATTTATAGATATTTTTAATTATATCATTAATAAATATTCTATATAAATATCTTGATAATGATGATTGAAATTCCAATTCATCATTAAAAAAATGAATTAGGGGTATAATAGGAAAAAATCATAAAAATTATCTAGTACCTATATTTTGAATTATAAGTAAGACTTTTAAAAGATAGGTTATATTCTATAAGTTTGAAGGGAGTAACAAGTAATAATGCTTTAAAAAGGACGAACACAGACCATGACAAGGAATTTTTTTTTTTTTTTGGCCAAGCAAGGACATTGTTACATTAATTAAAAATATTTATTAGTATTTTACATATAAAATGTCATGCCCTGTCTAATGTCTCATAATGAGATCATATGTTTCATCAAAAATTAATTCAAGAGGAAAATAGAAAATATTAGAATAAAAAAACGCATTTAGAAGAGGTATTAATTTACCTTGAAACCAGAATATGAGCAATAAAATGGGCAAACAGCAGATCCAAGTGAAGTACTATAAGAACCTTGATATTGCAAAGCAAATCGAAACACTTTTTGGGCCGTCCTCAACAAAATCTTTGAGTATGTAGGATCAACCTTGCGAAAAACAATGGAGGCAGCAGCTAGGGCGGCTGCGGTTTCACCGGCCACATCCGAACCCGGTTTGTCAGGTGAGACCCAATACACAGTTCGAACTGTATCCATGTCTTCAGGCCTTTCCCAACACTTGTGGTCCACGTTTGGATCACCAACTCCAACATAAAGTCGACCCGGTGTGGCAGTGGCACACTTGAGGAGGTAGTCTGTGGCCCAACGGATCGCAGCTCGAGCTTCTTGGATTTCAGGGCCCATTCTTCGGCCATATTCAAGTGTGCTCCATGATAACATGGTTGTGGTGAACGCCATTGGAAAGTTGAATTTGACGTTGTCCCCAGCATCATAGTAGCCTCCTGTCAGATCCACCTGCCATGCGTATATTGTGTGATTATTAGCGACTTTTTTTTTTAACTTTCTTGTTTGATTTGGAGGAAATTATTTGGATTTATTTTAATTTTTTTAATTTCACAAATTAAATTATTATACCCTTATTAGCTTTGTCTAATCTCCACATTCAAACCTCGAGTTTCACGGATTAAAAAATAGATTAAAAAAAGTGCTCCATGTTGAAGGGGTATTAAAATTAATTAATAAACCGTGATTATTAATTATCAAGATATGACATGTGAGAAAACAACCACGCGTGACACGCTCATTGATAAGAGGCAAAGGCCACAAACCCATCCTAATAATAATAATAATAAATGAACTTTTTAAATAATATTCACATTAAATATTGTACATAAATATCTTAATAATAATATTTAAAATTTTAATATTTTTAATTTTTAATATTTTGAAATAGAGGTAAAGTTAAAAAATAATTATAAAATTTATACAATAATTTATATTTTAAATGAAAAAAAATTTCTAGAAAATGCGCTGCTTTGCTTAGGACTATTTTTAAGTTTTTGTTGGGAAATACTTTAGGAATATTTTAATGTTAATACTTCAAAAAATTGGAATATCTGTGCTGTGCAGTGTTCGAGATTGTTCATGCTTTGACTACGCGTATCTTAAGAAAATTAGGCCATGACCTTTTTCTGGCCAACATGCTCCAAAGACTGTTTACTTTAAATAATTTATTCAAAATATTCATGACTAAACGAAATAATTAAATTAAATGCATCAAAACCACTGTAGCACCTTTGACGTTATCAGAAAGCATATTTTTCTAAAAAATGAGTATATATACACAAATACCTCGACAAAATTGTAAAAACAAAATTATATTAAGTAAAATTGGTCAATCTAATTTTTCCTTGTCTAGAAAGAAAATATTCTTACATTTTGCCAATAAAATAGAGAATATAGTACAAGATGAGCAATGCTTTAAAAAGTTCATGTAATTTACTTTTTTATTTTAAAGAATACATATAATTATTAATATGATAAAATAGAATAGAGTGATTCCATAGTTGATCTCCCTCAAATTTTTTAGACAGGTTTGTGCGTATGAAAAATAACAAATATTTACTTTTTCCTATTTGGAAAAAAAATTGAATGATTAGCTTAAAAAAATTTAAAATCTCTTCATATTCTTCTTTGGAAACACCATAAGTAGTAATTAAAATTTCACATCCCCATAAGTCAAGGTAAATAATAAACACCAGAAAATAACATTTAGCATCACATCTAAAACTTCTAACAAACAAAACTATTCACAAGCCATAAATAGTAATATCTGTGCAACTAGATTAAACAAGGTTTTTATATATTTATATATTTTAAGTTTGATTCAAATAAGTTCAACTTATTCGAATTACCAACTTTAAATAGACGGCCTACACTAATTCAAAAAAAAAAAAAGAAATGAGAGAACATAACATACATTGGCAAGGCGGCCGTCGGAGAGGCCAGAGGTAGAGCGCCAAGTAACTTGTTGATGAGGGGGAAGCCTCCCTGACCGTTGACCTTGAAAGAATAATAATGACTTTGCCAATGCTTCTCTGTAATTATGAGGATTACACTCAACATTGTTAACTATGAAGAAGAAGATGAAGAAGAAGAAGAATTTGAACATGACTGAGAAATGAAGAAGCAAAACAGAGAAGCTCTCTGTTTCTCTTTCTCTTTCTCACTGAAACTAATTCTAATGAGAATGAGTATTGTCTTTGTGACCTTTTTAGGGTTTGGTGAGTCAGTCTTCTGCTCAACTGCTCTTTTTATAAGCCTCACTGATATGGTCATGGAGCGCCACAAAGCCAATCACTTGGCGCAAATCATGGCTTTTTTTCTTTTTTTCTTAGACCAAGGAATTTCATATCTATGCACTCTTCTATGAACTTGTCCAACACTTCTACTATTCTTTAAATAATATATATATATATATATATATATTCTCTCAATTTTAAATATTTTTCTTTTTTCTGTATTATTTTATAAGATACTTTTAGAAATAATTTATGTCTCAAAATATAAACACTTTGATAAAAATAATATTTCATTAATTATAATTATTTTAATATTACCCTTCTCTTTTTATTATATTTTTTCCCCTCTATTTAATGTTTCACAAATACTAAGTTATATTAAATGAAGTATATTTTTTTAAAAAATATAAAAATATGAAATATATTTAATGAACTTTATTTATATTTATAATTTGTCAAAAAGTGTATTATAAACCTGAGGAGCATGGGGTAAACTTTGTATTTTTTTTTGTTTTTAATATAAAAAATAAAGTCAGAGTGGTTCATGTTTTTTTTTAAAATTTTACCCTTTCCTTTTCTACTGTCGTTTGAATTTTTAATGGTGGTTACTAGTCCCTCATAATGTGGTGAACTAAAATTCAAATCTCTATCGAGAGACATGCTCACATTTAGTACTTGACCGTGCCTTGAACATAAATGCCTCCAATAAGAAGATATTTATAAGTAATAAAAAATCATTATAATTACTAATTGCAAGACAAAAAGATAAAATTGAAAAATTATATTTTTTTAAAATTTTTTAATGATATAACTATCAATTATTAATAAACATAAAGGTAATTGAATTTTTCTTATATTAGACATCGGAGAGAATATATGAGAATGTTACTGCATTATTACATGATAGAAAGTTCTCAAATACTTATTGCTGTTAAAGGCAAAATATTCTCAAATTGAATGATTTTGGATTCGGATTCTCTGCTTTGTTTTGTTTGGAGTCAATCCTTTTCATTTAATTAATTTTAATGATTTAGATTTTATTTTGAAAAAATATAATCATTGATTTATAGTTTCATCTGGTTTTGCTTTTAATTCTTGTAATTTTTTACAATATTTTTAATTCCTATAGTTTTAAAAAAATTGGGTGATGTATTTTTTTTTCAGGTCTCTATGGTTTCAGTTTTTTCAGCATTTTTTGTCCTTATAAATACTGAAAATACTGGAAAAGATAATAGGGATTAAAGGCAAAACCTAATAAAATTGTAGGGACTAAAGATTATGCTTTTCCTTTTATTTTGCCATCAAAAATGGGGAAAAAAATGAAGCAATCTAAATCTATTTATTTATAATTAATAGTCATATATATTTTGCTAAAAATGATTATCATTTTTTATTTCACCATTACTGGATCCATGTTCTGATTTTAAGTGGCTTAAATCTCAGTATTTGTCCCCCTAAATAAAATTTCTAGTTTGAGTCTTTTACATGAAAAAAGAAAAGAAATTGGTAGGAGAGTTTTTTCACAAATATTTTCCAATTATAAACAATCTTATTCAAAACATAATTGGGTACTGAATGTAATAAAAGAGTTTTACATTCATATAGTCAAAAAAAAAATTGGGATAAAATCCACTTAGTCAATCTCATATAGATTATTTGATACGTAGTATAACTTCTAGAATCAATTGATATTAAGGAGGAAAAGCCAATATCTTTCTTAATTAATTGAATTATTTGTAATATCTTTCTTAATTAATTGAATTATTTGTTCTTAGATATAATTATCTAACTTGGTTAGATTCATTCATTGTTGAGCCTAATTGAAGATGTCTCTTTCAAAAATATTTTCTGCATCCACACAAATTTAAATTTATAATTGTAGCCCTTTTTACTAGAACTAAAATCTATTAGTAATTGAATTGATTAAAAATAGGGTAGGAAACAAAATTCACAAAGATAAATTGAATTATATATTTTTTATATTTTTTATATACCTTATGTTGATAATCTTTTTAGGAAAAATGTTAATTTTTTATTTATAAGTATTCTTTTATTAAAGACAATCATATTTAAAATATGATTAAATATTAAATAAAAGCACGGAATTCAAATCTTAATGATAATATTATTAATAACCGGATTAGAGACATGGCCCGGGGTAGTTTACAAGTGGGAGCCATGTGTAATAACGACTTAACTATAACTGTCAAAATGTTATAAATGGTCTCTCATCAGTCTCAACTATGTTTCTTCTTTCTCTTCTTCATGTAACTTTATCTTGAAAGCAAAATGTATAATTAAAAATCAATAAAATAACTAACTTTTTGATTCGTGATGATAAATTGATAATCATAAACATTCCACTTGTAACGAGTTCAAAATTATAACAATATAATAATTATAAAAATGTTGTTGTTGTTATAAAAACTTGTATACTTAACCTTATATTTATATGGTATATATTTTTAATTAAATCAAACTATGTGAATATTTTATAAATTACTTATTCTATAATAAATTTTTATTATTAGTATTATTAGCAAATTAAAATTTACAATTTGATTGGAATAAAAATATATTAATTATATAAAATTAAGCATATAAGTCATGTCCAAATTTTATATCCACTTTTCTAAAGTTTAATATAAAAATTATTCCTAGCTCCTATAGCTCGCATAATTTTTAATTTTAAATTAACCTTTAAAATCTAATTAAGGTTGGTTACAAATAGGAGTGTTTATGGGATGAGATAGAACACGGGACAGGATGAGACTGAATTTTGATCCCGTGTCCTGTCCCATCCCATCTCAAAAATCGTCTCATCTCGTTAGGAGTCAGGACGAGACCGGAACAAAATCAAAACATCCCATCGTCCCGATAAATCGAATAATATTAGAGAAAAATTTAAATAATAACGTTCATTAAAATTTTAAATCATATAATTTATTAAGTTTAAAATTAAAACAACACAAGTACATAAATCACAATACTTTAAATTCAATTATTGAATTACATTAATCACAACTACATATTATAATAGTAAATACAAGTAATCTTTAGGCTATAAGAGTAGCAATAACAGGCAACCCAAGCATAACATCAAGTCATTATTCTTCTACTTTAGTGAAGATATACTGAGCTAATTACTCTTATGAAAATAAAGCCAAAAATACGTTATAAATAAAAGTTATTAAATAGATATATATATATATATATATATAAATAAATTATATTAATATAATTAATATATTTAAAAAATAATATATATATATATATATATATATAATATTAGGGATGAGATGGGATGTTTCGATGATAATCCCATGTCCTATTTCGTCTCGAACCCTTTCCTATCCTGTTACGTAAAGTCTTTTTTCGATTATTTTTGAGTCGAAACAAGACCCATCTTAATATAATTGAGATAATATTAAATTAATCGAGACGAATTCAAACTGAGAAGCCCTGATTACAAGTATCATTTTCCATTAATAATACTTGAGACATGCGCGCGTGAGTGAGAGAGAGGGGGATAAGATATTAAGATCATGACACGTGGTCAAATATGGAATGACGAATTGGGAATCAATTTTAAGTCACCAGTACATTTAATTTGGAATTCTTGTTCGTTTTTATTATTTTCTTTTTATTTCTTAATTTACCAAACACTCTATTGACTTGTGCAAGTCAAAGCTTTCTCATTTGCAAGTTGAGATGATAATAAAGTTGAAGAATATTTCAATTTTGTTTTTGTATTTAATTAAAAAGTGTCCACACACAGGCGCACATATTTCAATTTATGAGTAATCGTTAGTTCAAATGTGGCTGGTTTGATTGTGTTCTCATTCTTTTTGCTTTTAAATATTTTTTGTCATATAATTTTTAGAATTTTTTTCAAAACAAAATGAGAAAAATATGTTTGATTATGTTGAGTTGAAATTAAAACAATTTTGTGGGGAAAAAAGAAATTAAAACAATTTTAAATTTAAAAAATTAATTGATAGTGGTGATTGTTAGTGTTTAATGGTAATGACTTACCATAATTATTGACCATAGCTTACTGCAATTTTCGATATTCAAACATAATATATTTTTTTAAAAAAAGAAAAATAACATTAAGATGTTTTTTATTTTTAAAAAAATAAAAAATGAGAACAATTTTATTTTTTCTATAGTCTGCTATTTAAACTTGCAATCTTTAGGTTGAGTGTGCATCACACTAACCATCAAGCTACAAGTTTGCATGGCGAGAACAATTTTAATATTATTAATACATGAAAATTTAGTTATTTTAATTTAATTAAATAAAAGTATATTAAATATATAAGGTTAAGTAATTAAGATTTGTCCATAATAAAATCTTATATGCTACATTATTTATGAAGTATAAATAATGTAATCATTTTTCAGATTTGGTAAGCCTGGGACCTACATTGATTTAATCTAAAGAAGGTCTTTAGTTTCCTTCTGTATTAATAGTTCTGTCTTCATTGTAAAAAATATGTAACTTTTAAATTTAACCCATCTTTTGAAATAAAAATTATAATAAATTGATGGTTAAGAATTCAAACTATAATAAATTAATTAATTAATTAATTAAAAAATATTAATTATTTTAACTTTATTTTATATTAAAGACCAAAAATCTTATATTAAAGATATGGAGTATTGATTAGTATTTTTGGTCACACTTTATTCCCTTTTTGTTCATCTAAGTCAAAAAGGAGGGAACGCAAAACATGCTTTATAATAATTTTAGTGGACGTTCGGTACAAATGAGCACAATCTCGCAACATCAAGATTAACAAACAATTATGGTTCATCTTGTCATGATTTAACAACTTATGATTTTTCTTTTTCCAATGAATTTTTAAATTAGTGGACTTGATATACTCAAATCAAGTTATGATGATAGGTTAATTGCTTAAATAAATTAAACATTTAATTTTAACGTTTACTTTTCATATTTTTTTAAAAATGAATTTTTACTA